AGACACCATGTGGAGAGAAGCCATGTTCTGGTCAACAGAGGTAGCTGAGCCCAGCTTTGTCTGTCAATGGTAACTATCCAGAATCTGAGGAGTATATTATTAATACATCTTGAAAGGGATTTTGTGTAGTAATTTCAAGTATAAAACCTAGTATTAAGGAGTCATGTTCATAATTACTTACTACAGGTGGCAGAGTTTGGAAAAGTGTTTAACAGTATTTACTAAAGTTTAACATATGTATATCTTAAACCCAGTAATTTCACTCCTACACATATTCTCAACATACATAAGGAACAAAAGACCTGTACTAGAATTTTTAAAATATATTTTATTGATTATGCCATTACAGTTGTCCCTGTACTAGAATTTTAAATCAGAACATCTATTAGCCAAAAACTGGAAACTGTCCAAATGCCTATCAACAATAAATAAGATTAAAAAATTTATGTGCTATTTACAAAATAGGATGCTAAACAGTATTAAGAACAATCTACAAGGAACAACATGAATGAATCTCAAAAATCAATACTGAGAGAAAAAAGCTAGACACAAAAGGCACTTTTTGTATGATTCCATTACCATGAAGTACAAAAACAGGCAATACTAATCTATACCATTAGAAATCAGGATAATGGCTACCCTTGTGAGGTTTTGATAATGTTCTGCTTCTTGATCAGGGTGCTGGTTAGATAAGTGTGGTAATTTAAAAACATATCCACAGATCTTCTTACACTCTCCCCATCAGAAAGTGAAGTCCAGTTCCTTCCCCATGAATATAGGCTAGCCTTAGTGACTCACCTCCATTATGCAGAATGCACTGGAACTGAAATTGCATGACTCCTAATGCTAGGTAAAGAAAGGCACTAGAGTTTCTATCTAGTTCTCTTTGTTGGGATGCTCACCCTTGGTACCCAGCCATCATGCTATGAAAAAGTCAAAGAATCAATTGGATGTATTCTGATCACAGACACAGCTAAGATCCCAGTAACAGGTAGCATCAACAGCCAAATAATGTAAGTGAAGGAGCCTTCAGATGATTCCAGCCCCCAGCCTTCAAATTATCCTAGCCAAACCCTGACCAAATTGCAAATTCATAAGCAACATAAATGTTGCTATATTAAGCCACTGAATTTAGAGTTGATTTGTTATGCAAGTATATGTAACTGGAACACACAACAAGTGTGTTCATTTGGTGAAAATTCATCAACAGACAAGCCTATTGTGATATATACACTTTTCTTATATATATTAGCTAAGTTTGAATGGAGGTTTGAAATAAATACCATGCCAGAGAAACAAGCTTAAATTTCTCATTAAATTTTTAATACGCTTTATATAAATTCAGTATTTCATATCACCATAATACTTTTTCTTTTCTTACAATTACATAATATAAAGAAAAATGTAACAAATTTTTTACCACACCCTATACAGACATCTCCAAATCTCCATCATTTTATCCCCACACACTGCCCAACTCTGATTATTTATCATGTGTGGGTGTAAAAAGTGTTGGGAAGCGCTGTTATGAGGTATCTGCCCAACACCATTCCCTCTTCTTCTGTTAATAGTATCTCATTGACCTTTGGAGAACTACCACACTTCTGATCAATCAAGGTAGCTAAGACCTGATTTTTGGCTTTTTCTTTAACCCTATTATGCCTCACATTCTTCCAATAAATTTCTTATTGTAAGTTATTAATATCTGGTCTCTAGTCTTTGCAACCTAAGAAGGCTTAAACACTTACTGATAAATAGCTCCAGTGGTAACACACTATGTGACACACCATTGATAATAAATAAATATTAAATGAAATGCTTGTGAAATAATATTGCACAACTTATTTTTGACAAAAGAACAAAGGCTACACAGTAGAAAAGAACAGAGTTTCAACAAATATTGTTCAACAATAGGGTATCCATATGTAACAAATATGAACATGGATCCATATCTCAAACCATAAATGAAAATTAACTCAAAATGTGTCATAGACCTAAATATACGACAGACTAAACTAGAAAACTTCTATAAGAAAACATAGGAAAAGGTCTTTATGAGTCTAAAGTGGGTAAAGATTTCTTAGAAATGACATCAAAAAGCACAATCCATGAAAAAATAGTTTGGGCTTTATTAAAATTTAAAACTTCTGCTCTTAAAAATGTACTGTTAAGAGAATGAAAAAAAACATACTGAGAGAAAATCTTTGTAAAGTATATATCTGATAAAGAATTTGTTTCCAGAAGGTATTAAGAACTCTAATAACTTAAAATGAGCAACCCAACTTTTTTAATGGGTCAAAGATCTGAAAAGACACCTAACCAAAAAAGATATACAAATGGCAAATAAGCACATAAAAAGATGCTTGACTTCATTAGTCACTAGAAAAATACCAATTGAAACCACAACAAGATTCGACTACACACTTATTAGAACAGCTAAAATTAAAAACGACTGACATACCAAGTGCTAGTGATGATGTAGAGAAAATGGAACTTGAATATACTCCTAATCAGAATGTAAAATAGTACAACCACGACCATTCTGGAAAACAATTTAGCAGTGTCTTATAAAGTTAAACACACACCTACTCTATGATCCAACCATTCCACTTCTAGATTTTTACCCAAGATAAAATGGAAATAAACAGGGTGCTCAAAAGCAGGTTCACGCTTGCATTGAGACATTCTCTTAGTTAATGAACCTATTTTAATCATTATAACCTGCATGTCTTTTTCTGTACTAACAACTGTAAACCTAATTTTGCCACCCCTGTATGTCCACATAAAGAGTGGTACACAATGTTCATAGTAGCTATTGGTAACAGCCCAAAACCAGATGCAACCCAAATGTCCATCAACAGATAAGTGAATAAGTAAATTGTAATACATCCATATAATGAAATACAATAAAAAGCAACAAAAAAGAATGAACTATTGATACACAGGAAAAACACAGATGAGTGTCAAGATAATGATATTGAGTTAAAGAAATCAGATCCCCCCCCAAAATAATACATGCTGTCTGATTCTATATATGTATGTTTCTTTAGAAAAGGCAAATGAATCTAAAGTGACAGAAAGTAGATCAGTGGTTGCTTAGGTGTGGGAGGTGAGGATGGATGGGAGGAAAAATTAAAAAGAGACATGAGAAAACTTGAGAATGATGAATATATTCACTTTATTGTAGTGATGGTTTATACTTTATGCTCCTGATATCTGTTATACCTCAATAAAGCTCTTTAAAAAGAAACTGCAACTTAGCAGTCAGACTTTGAGGGAAGTAGAAATGAAGCAGAATGAAAATCTGGGTTAAAGGCCTCATGAGTTTTGTAAGCTATCCAAGTATGCAAGGAATCCACGCTTCTTCTCCCTAGCCAAGCCTAACCTGAGTTTAACAAGCCATCTCCCCACTATTCTCCAGGAATGGTAACGACCACCACTATTGGGTCTGTTTTCTGGAAGAGAATGACCCGATCAGTGTAAAATAAATTCCATGTCTTATGAGAGATTGTCAGTTAAACATATTCAACTTATAAAGATTTTTATTAACTTCTTTATTTTTTAAGATTTTATTTATTTATTTCTAGAGAGAGAGGAAGAAAGGAAAACATCAATCAATTGTTTCTCACATACCCCCAAATGGGGACCTGGCCTGCAACTGAGGCATGTGCCCTGATTGGGAATCAAATCAGCAACATTTTGGTTTGCAGGTTGGTGTTCAATCCACTGAGCCACACCATCCAGGGCCAATTTATAAACATTTTTAAAGGACTTTCTACTTGCAGAATAGTTTTAATACTGAGAGTGAACTTTTTCACATGTGAATTCCAATGTAGACACACTAGTTATTTAATCTCTCAGAGCCTCGGTTTCCTATGAAATAACATAATAAAAAAGCAGAAAACTAAAACAACGGACTATGACAGTTATTAATTCTTTTTGTGGGGGCAGAGCCATCGTTCTTCCCCCTCTGCTCTGAAAGATACCCATTTTTTCCCATCTCCAATGGTACTAATTACCTTCGGTAAGTCAAACTTCTCTCCCTGCCTCCATCCCTCCATCACTAGACTTCTTGAGAGAAGACCATGAGGTCCATAGCTTTGCTGACCACCATATTAGTGAAGAAAGCATCCAACCTCCGCCAGAGTCTGGTGTGACTAAGGACCACAATGATGTGCTGAGATGCCACTGAGCTCCCCGCATTGTGTATTCTACAGTTTAAGCTTCACTTTCCTGACAATTTCCATCTGTTAAACTAGATGGGGACAATCTCAACAGTATCCCATTTCTAACTGTGGGTAGAGGTACTTTTCCAGGGTGAACTGTGTTCTATGGGAGCAGAGCCATGTGAGCTTTGACTCTTTAAGGGAAGATACAAGAACTAGAGCCTACTGCACAGGAATTATGGTTGAGCCCACCAATTCTAGCTTTAAGCAACTCTAGCTTAAATTTCCGACTGTCGCTTATGTATGGGACCTTATCATATTCAAAACAAAAAAATTTCATCTCTACAGTGGGCTAAAGCTATTAATTTCTTTGAATGGTACTAACTTTCATTATAAATTATATCATTTTGGCCAAGCATTACCTTCAACACTAAAGACAGCATTTAACACACTAGCGGTAACTCATTTCTTTCTAAATAGATACTTATATCTAAAGCTTAACTAATTATAAGTTACCGAGAAAAGAAAGCTTACCCCTTCTGCGTTAAGAATTTGAGATCACAAAACCTAAAATTAAATTCAAATCAAGTAAGGTCCAAAAATGGTACAAACCTCAAATAGCCAAGCTAAGCTCCGCCTCTGTGCAAATCCTGCCCACTTTGGCTGCTCCACTCAGCCTCTAACACTACAACCCCGCCCTTCTCAAAGAGGTCCCGATCCCCACCCTGCCCCTACCCGCCCCCCCACACCTGCTGTTGGTTCCCATTGGGCGAAGCTGATTGCTGTATACACACCCGACGGACACGCGTTTGGCCTTGGCCTTCTTGCGCCTGCGCAGCAGCGCCGTCAGGAGGCTGGGAACTGGGGGCTGGGGAACCGGAGGCGGAGGTCAGGCTGAGTCTTCCCCGGTAATAAGGAGCAACGCGTCCCGCGGTCCTGGCTCCTTGGGTCCTGTCGGATCAGGTCTGGGCGCCGCTGCTGTGGCTCCCGCCGCGGCGGGTGCGATGGAGACCGTGCCGGAGCCCAGCACTCACTCCGGAGGAGGTCGAGACAGCTGGCGGTTCTCGTAGATGTGTCGGGGAAGGCAGCCCGGGCTCTCCATGAGCAAGCGGCGGCGGCGACGGGGGCGGCGGCACCGGCGGTTTTCAGTCCCCGGGGAGGTACGTGGAGTCAGCTTCTTGGCGCAGAGGCTGTGGTGTGTGGGAATGCCTTCCGCGGCCCAGTTTTCTAGCTCATTGCCCGTAGTCCCGTGCGCTTTGCGGGGCCACTGCCTGGATGCTAACAGGGGCGTTCAGCCTTGTGCACCGGCTTCTGGTCCGGGGACCGCCCGGCCCGCGTTGCGGAGCTAGTGCTTGGGGCCAGGCCTTCCAGGGTGTGGCGGGCCGGGGGCTTGGTGGGTGTGGCTGGGGTTCGGAGGGGCTCAGCAGGGTGCCCACCGCTCGCCGGAAGCCCAGTGCTGCTTGGAGGGGAGCTTGTGGCCATTTTTCAGATTATTTTGGAACGCTGATTCCAGAGGGGCCCTTTAGGACCCCCAGGCTGTTAGAGCGTCCTGCAGTCAGTGCCTTTGGCAAATGGTCTGGCTCTCATGACTAAAGTGGAGTACAAATTGTCACCCTTGAAAATGACTGGGGGGAAACAAAAGTGGTGTTTTTCAAGGAAAGGTCGGGGAGTTGAGCAGGTTTATTCAAACTGCAGGGCCTGTTGGGACAGGAAAATAAAGACAGCCGAATAACTCCTTCAGGATTTCTAATACAGTGCCTAACGAACAATCTTAGAAGGTGTGGCGAAAACAAGGCAGGTTTAAGTAAAGCTCTTTGTAGCTGTTTCTGCATCGTTTTAATTAATTTTTAGTAGTTTCTTTGAGACAAATCACCACGTTAGTCTGACTACTAGATTGTGTCTTCTAGTTCTTCCAATACTCTGCCCCCTCTTTTTTTGCATATGTACGTATAAAATTGTAACTTAATTCTTCTAGAGTATAACTGTTGATTTATAGCGCTGTAGTTATTATTCATTTCAGTCATATCCAAAAGATAATTGGAAAAAAAGCCACTGGAGACTTATGATTTCTTTTCAATGAAATATTTAGGAATCTGAACTCAAGCCCTTGATTTTATGACCTTGCTACAAAGTTCTTTATATTCAACATAAATAAAGCATAAAGTTATTTTTAATTTTAACGTATTTGAATGCCTTACGAATTTTCTTTTCAAATCTGCGCCGGAAATGTGTTAGTTCTTAATGAGAAATTGAGTGTTTTCCTAGGTTCCAAATTTGCCACGCCCTCTTATTCCTAATTGGTTGACTAGAACCAACCTGTTACTATATATAAACATCTGTACTTCAGACTAAATATAGCTGGACATTTTAGCGTGCAGATTATCTTTCTTCAAGCCGAAAATATTGTTGATGTGTTTAATGTATCATGGAACTGAATTTTTAGTCTGCTAGTATTGTAAAATCAGTTTGAACTAAATTTCTTGTGCAAATAAAACATAGGTTTGCAGTACTGAGTTTTGGATTCATGTTATGCTTAGGAGGGTGTGGAACTTCAAAAGATGGTAAAAATAAGACACTGACCTCAGTCACTCACTTCTCTTTCTAACTTCCCTTTTCTTCATAAAAAATACTCGTATACTTTTTCATAAAAGTACCACATTGGAAAACACTATGATGCTTTTTGGACATTTTTTGGTCCCAAGTAAAGCACTTTCTCAGTTATTTCATTAGAACCTCTTTCTTTAATTTTTAAAAATGTTGCTTTATATAACATACATATGACATGCATATGTTTATTAGAATACTGTCATTAAGCTAAAAAAATGAAATACTTAGCTATCTTCAAAGCTAGGGAAAGTATAGGCGCCGACTTAAATAGGGAGGACACCTCAGCAAATTCTCCAAAACATTCAGAGACGGGAATCAGCATACTTTTCAAGATGTGAATCAAATCTCACAGCATGGCTTCTGTAATTCAAATTGTATTGGGTTGGCCACAAAGTCTATATGTTTTTTTCCATAAAAGAAAAGGCACATTTTTCATTTTCACCAACTTTATTGACTTGGATATTTTGAGTCTATTGTCTATCTCCTGTGTGGTATAATGTTGATTGTTCTCAATTAATGTCTCAATCTGATTGCTATCAACTTCAACTGGTCTACACGACCGTGGAGCATCATCCATTGAGAAATGTCTAGCACGAAAATTTGCCAACCACTTTTGACACATTCGAAGTCACTACACCTCCTCCATACACTACACAGATTTTTTGCGTTTCATTTGCGTATTTACCTTTCTTGATATAATAAAGCATAATATGCCAAAAATGTTGCTTATTTTCTTCCATCTTCAATATTAAAATGGCTACACAAAATTCACCAATTTTGATAAGTTTTTTTTAACACACACTGATATGACAGCTGTTACAATACAATCTAACAAAAATGTTTCAAATGAAGTTAAAGATAACTAGTGCTACTAGAGCCATCTCACAGGAAAAAAAAGAATGAAATTTTTGGCCAATTCACTAGGACATCTAGCATGGTCCTAAATTGTAAGTAAAAATCTCAGCATTCATAGAAATTATTTTTGTATTAGCTATGCTACTATTCAGTTAAGTTCTCATGATTACTCTTCTTATGTTATCTTTCAAAGATAATTGGTCATTATTCTGTAGCCCACATAAGGATTTCCTTGCAGTATATTCATTTTATAAGCGAAGCTACACATATTAAGAAAATGAAGCAGCACTTGTATATTAAAGGGTGGTAGGAAGAGGTTTACATTAGGAAAGCACACAACCAAATTTAGATGCTATCTTTACTTTTATTTAAGTTTTTTTTATTACAGGGTTTTCTTATAGTACAGATACAATCTGTGGTATGATTAATATAAACTATCAAATGGCTATTCTTTACCTCAAAAAAGGGTCGCAGCTTATGTAGTTTTTCCAAAGACCATGCATATTGTCTCCCAAATTCATAACTAAAATTGTTTTAAACAATTTTATTATATTGGGAGGCCATTTAACCAAATTTAATTGAAGTCTTTAGATGGCTTTATTTCCATTAAAAGATAACGTACGTAGTCACATGCATGTTCTATTTTAACTTTTAAAATACAGGATGAAGACACTGTTTGAAGAGATCAAAGCATCAATTAAAAACAACTATAACCAAGATCGCTCGTTTTGGAGGCCCGTTCTGCCTTGGGGAGGTGTCTTCACGATCAAAGCTGGCCGCAAAGCAGTGTCCTGTACCCCGCTCTACGTGGAAATAAGACTGAAAAATACCTGCACCATAGATGGATTCTTAATGTTACTCTACGTCATTCTTCATGAGAATGAAAATTTTCCCAGAGAACTCTCTCTTCACTTAGGGAGAGAGTTTATAGACTGTTTTCTTTATTTGATGGACACCTATAGTTTTACAACTGTGAAGCTACTTTGGATTTGGGACAAGATGGAAAAACAGCAATATAAATCTGAAGTTTATAAAGCTTCATTAATAATTGATCTGTTTGGGAATGAACATGATAATTTTACAAAAAATCTTGAAAATCTCATGTCTACCATACAAGAGAGCTACTGTTCTAACTGGCGATGCCCAACTCGCGTGCAGGAGGATCAGCAGCGCACAATTAATATAAGGTAAGTTGCTGTAACGTCTGCTTTATGTTCTCTGAAGTCTGTTTTGTCTCTTTTAGCAGAAATAATATACTTTTTAAATTAAGTGCTATAAATATAAATCTGTATATATAGTCAAAGTACTTTTCAGAGTACAGGATTATGTGTAATTACTTACACATATATCAACCACACAAATTTAAGACTCTTTGGTAGGTCCCGTGACAGAAACATACAAACATCTTAGAATTTACTTTTAAAAAACCAACTAATATTTCTCTCGCAAAATAATGAACTATTCAGAATGCAAAATATGTTGCTTTTGTCTTGAATTGACTAATGCGACTAGATAATTCCAGTGTCACATCTTTGGTGGGTGAGATCTACATGCACAAGAAGGAAAATACTCCTACATGTTATGACCAGGGCTGAGTTAGAGACAGTAATCACAGACTTGGGATCCTAATACCTGGAGAAGATGTGCCTATGAGGAACATTTTCGCTGACTAGAAAAGGTGCTGGTGGCCTGCTAAGTATTTTTGAGTTTCAGAGAGAAGACAGTTCTCCAAGCTGGTGAATGACAGGGAGAAAGGCCAAAATGGCAAGTCCTAGTAGGTAGAGTATGGGGAGACATTGAAGCCTGGAAGGAGACAAGTGCTGGAAAAAGGAGAATGGCCAGTGGAGAAAAAAAAACGACAGAAAAACAGACCTAAACACATTGTTTTCAGAAAGCGTGTTTGGCCCCATGGTCCAGAAAAACAGCCTAAATTGTTCTCTTTGGGCGGTATACATCCCATACCCTAACTTATTGAATTCACATTGTCTTATAGCATATTTAACTCTAATATTGTAACAGCATGATACTTATGGAAAGTTGAAGGCATTTTATTATTTTTAGACCCTAACAATTAATGTCTCTTTTTTTGAAATACACTTTTTCCATTTCCTTGTATTGCTGATATGAGGGTGTTGATTTTGAAATCTGTCAGGCAAAAAAGTTCTATTATTCTAAATCATAATGGATTAAAAAGCATTTCAGAAATTTGTCTTTTTTTAAACTAATTTTAATTTGTATATGTTTTGGAACTATAATGAAGTATTTATATTTTATTGATACTAATATTTTATGCTTTTCTTAATAAAACATCATACTCTATAACTTTCTTAAGCTTTTGCCTGTTTTTTTTTAATCCTGTATTTAAAACAACTTCTGAAATGTGTAGGAAAAAAATTTTAACAAATCAGGTAGCTGAGGGCAACAGTGGCTGCAACTTAGTCTGGCAACTTGAGTAACCAGTTGCTTCTCTGATTCTGGGTCCCACTTTTCTTCCCCCTAGACCAGAACCCTTTCTATTGAATCCTCTGGGTGGACATTTTTTTTTAAGATTTTATTTATTTTTTTTAGAGAGAAGGGAAAGGCGAGAAAAAGGGAGAGAAACATCTATCAGCTGCCTCTCACAGGTCCCCCAACCAAGGACCTAGCCTGCAACCCAGGCATGTGCCCTGGCCAGGAATCAAACTGGTGATCTTCTGGTTCACAAGTCCCTGCTCAACCCACCAAGCCACACCAGCCAGGGCTGGAAAATTTTTTTAAGTAACAACAACTGCATATTTCAGTTTATAGAAAGATTTAATGTTTCTTGGAAAGCTTCATACATTGACATTTATTAAATTTAACCAGTTTTTGTACTATCCGCAAGGCAAAGGTAAATAACAGAAGTTATACTTTTACTTGGTTTGCTAATTGTAAATCGACCTATAGATTTTGTAATCCTAATAATGTGTAACCTGTAAAATAATTTACCCGTAAAATGTTGAAGCAGTTTTATATGCATTTTGCAATTGTTATAGTCCTCCCCAAGAAACTCCACATGGAAACTTGATACGACTGGCTGTCGATGAGTTATTCTGTTCCAAGATTGAACTGTGTGAAGAACGTGGGTGAGTATATAATAGCCGATTAAGGTGAAAGTATTCTGCATTGTTTATAAAGAAACCTGGACTGACATGCTCTTTGATGTTAGAGGAAGTCTAACTTTTTTTAAATCTTAACACCTTGTAGTTTCCTATACTATCTTATGCTGCATTGTCACTATCAAATAGAATATAATACAGTTAATTGACAAATACAAAGCAAATGCCTTTTCTTTTTTCCCCCACTGCTGAGTAGGTACAATAAAACCTTTGTTAACCAGAACCCAATTAATCGGGACCCTCAGTTAACTGGATTTTTTCTGCATTCCTCATTTGGGAGAAAGAGGTAAATTACAACCAAAAAACTTAACATAGTGTAAAGAAAAAGAAATCCAAAGGGGCAGAAAATATATTCATCCCAATCTCTTAATTTCTGTATCTTCAGAAGGATGATCTTAGAGCTAACTAATTACAAAAGGAGAGAATAAAATATGTTCAGTTAATTGTACTTAAGTTCAGAAAGTGAACTAATATATTTTAGCAATAAATACTGAAACAAAATGATTTTTCTGTTAGTTTAGTCAATTAATATTCATTAACCAAAATACTGTACCACGAGCATTGCGGTTAATCAAGATTTTACTGTATGTATTTATTGTATTCTGATTCATATGCTTAATACTTGATGCTAAGAAAACAGAATTTGCTTTATCCTGTGGGAAAAGGAAGCAATTTGGGAATTTTATCCAGTCAAAGAGGCCTGTAAGAATTATATTATTCCCTTCTCTGCCATTATTTCCCTTTGAAACCATCTTATATAAAGAAAAATGTATCTAAAAATAAAAGCAAAAAAAATGTTTTTAAAGCAAAAGAATAAAAATAAAAGCTACTCACTTTTGTAAGCCTAGATAAAATGGCTAGCTTTTCCTGGAGTTTTAAAAATATCATTTATTGTATGTAGAATCTCAGAGTTTATAAGCTTCTCAGAATAGATATACAAGGGTGGGCAAAAGTAGGCTTACAGTTGTAATACAAATAATACAATAATTCATAAATAATATGAGAATAAACTTTGTGTTACACCTACTTTTGCCCATCCCGTATAAGGTACTAATATAGCCACACTATTACCAATACCTAAAATAGGTAATTATGTTTATTATGACGTGAAGTAATAAAGACAACCGAAAAATGATCAAAGTCAGCTTTATTCCAAGTTTAATAAAGTTCGTGTATTTCAATTTTAGGTGTGATGGTTTAAGAGAATTCTCCCAACGAGTTTTCTGCCATGGGGCACCCCCTTTTGTTGTCTTAAATATGCAGCATTGGAAATCGGAAGATCTGGCATATGTACCCTATCACTTGGATTTATCTGATCATAAGTAGGTATTTTTTGTTTGTTTCACAAAACTAGTAAAAATAAATGTATTTTATATTTTCTGCTATTCTATTATGATTTTGCCCAGCCCTTAAGGAAATATTATCAAAAAGATTGTAGCTATCTCTAGATTTATGTATCTCAGATAAGTTCAGACCCTATACGGAAAATTAGTCTCTGGCATTGTGGGTGGTGCTCAGGTGCTTGGATTATGGAATAGGAAGAATTGGGTTCAAATCCAGCCCCACTTAGGCCAGTTACTTAACCAGTTTAACTCATCAGTTTTCTTATCTATAAAACAGAGATGACAGTTTATATCTGGTGCCATTACTGCGAGAATTTTCTTTAAGATTTTGTTTGTTTGTTTGTTTGTTTCTAAAGAGGGGGAAGGGAGAGAGGGAGAGAAACATCAATGTGTGGTTGCCTCTTGTGCGCCCCCTACTGGGGACCTGGCCCACAACCCAGTCAGGGAACCAAACAGGCAATCCTTTGTTTCACAGGCCAGCACTCAATCCACTTGAACCACACCAGTCAGGGCTACTGTGAGAATTTAATGAGATAGCACATGAAAAGTGTTTAGGATAGTACCTATACCTAGTAATACTGGCCATTGTATTTCAAGTCAAAAGTAGTATGTAATATGAAGTCATCATTTAAAAATAAAATGCTGCTGTCATCATTATAGATAAAAATACCTGCATATAAATTAGGACATACAACATTCTTTTAACTTTTTGCTTTAAAAGTTTTTTCGTATGTTTTATTTAATAGAACCATACAGGTTATGAATTAAGGTCCATATTTTTTAATTCTTAAATTATATCAATTTAAAACATTCTTAAACATTTTATTTCAACTTACCAATTATAGTACATTAATTTTACAGGTGAATATGTTTTTTAGGGAGTAGACTGTAAACTCAATTTTTACTCCTTATTTAAGAATTTAAGGAATGTTTACCTTAAGAACAAAATACTCTTTTCTGCTCTACATTGTCATTGAATTTACAGATATTTGTTGGAAGGTGCCACATTATTTAACAAAGAGGAACATCATTATTCTGCAGCTTTCCAGATCGATGGACATTGGATGCACTATGATGGCCTCAGAAATGTGAATTTAATTTTGCTAAATAAACCACCTGAGTTTCTCCTGTTGTCATCATTGGTTTATATTCGAGCAACAGAAAAATAAATATAGGCCGATGCTAAATTTAATTGTTTTCCCTTCTGCCCATGCTCCCCAAGGTGAAGGGCTTTTATTTTGTATATACTTGGTATCCAAGGAAATAGTTCAACTATACTAGTTTCAGAGTTGTATCTTCCAGTGTTTAGCCCCAGGTAAATGTTTTATATAGAGAATCTATGCAAAAGTGTTTGTATTTCTTTTTTCTATATCCAGGTTTATTTTTATACAAGCATATTTTATGTTGAAATAAAATATATCTTTGTATTTTTTATTTATATGTACCTCAAAGATTTTTTACAATTCTGTCCATGAATCTAAGAAAACACTTGTCATTTGAAGTCTCAACTTTGAGGGGCGAGGGGTATATCCAAATAAAGTCTGCGTAGAAGTCAGTGTTTCTGTTTCTATAAATTCCACAGTTCAAAATGTGTCTGAGAATATTCCTTTGCCCTACCTCACTCTAATCCAAAGTGCATTACTGGACCTAGTATATATTTGAATGTATGAGTTGTAGACAGCTTAGTCTATTTTACCTGTTGTTTTGCCTAAGTTCCCTGAAGCAGTTTTTTTAAATTTTTGGTGAGAGTGCTTTCTGGGCTTGAATAATTTCTTTATAATGGCAAATTTCTTTAACCACACTTGCTGAAGTATTATATACCTGCCAGTGAATCTTAAATATTAATTAAGTTCCTAAGCCTAATTAGAGTTATTGTTAAAAATAAATTATATAACTAATCTAAGCAATTATCTCATAGTTAAATGTCATGGAACTTCTCCAATAAAAATGTATTTTGCACATAAGATAAATATAAAAAATAGGCAACTGGGTGTTTACAAATGTTGGATTAATAGTAGAAATGTATTTTAAATATATACTTAAGAGAACATGGGTACTTGGAAGTATTTTTCTAGTAAGTCATATTGGCACAGGAAAAAAAACAAATTTTTCAAGTAACATCTGTTGGCTCCTTTATAAGTAGTAAATCGGTAGCTTGAGACTTTGATTTGCAATAGAAATCACTAGAATTGTAAAGATAACAGAATATTGTGTTTCTCTTCAGACACCCTAAGGTCTCTCTTTCTCTCTCTCTCTTGAAATTTAAAGAGAAAAAATTAAATCCTATTCTTAAGGGAAAATACATTTTGAAGTTTATTACAATTTTTTTAGTGTTTACATTACATTGAACAGTCCACCTTAGGTTTTGGGTTGAGATTGAGCGCACTATATTTGGAAATTTCTACATGATAACCCAGGTCACTGCCATATCCAAATTGCTAGATTTAATTCAGTAGATTGTCTTACATTGGCATGGTGCCATGTTGAGAGAACATACTGAAGAATGTATAAATGTGAGCAAAATGTTGCTGAAAATGCCTCACTTTGAGCAAATACTATGAAAATTCCTTTTTTACATGAGATAAAAAGTAGTGATTTATTTTATAAAAATAAATTCACCCCAAGGTTTATTTAAATAGTTCCCCGCATGTACTTAAATAGGATTTGATTTACAGTAAACTTTTCTGGGGACACTCTCTTGCATGAATCAAAGTATAGAAAAACACAAATTCTAGCTTATATGTAAATGGTATCATTAACAAAATTATTCCTACTGTGGATTTATTTTTTTTAGAACTTGCACTTTAATTGGAATGATACTAGTTTATCACAAAACCATCACTTACCTACCTCACAGGGTTGTTGTGAGGATTTAGATGTTTGTTAAAACCTTGACTACCTTGAACATGCTAATAAACATTTTTTTCTACCTCTTTCATGTACAGGCAAGTCTCCCAAATTCTCTTACAAATGAAATTCTTAGATTTTTTAAAAAATTCAGCAGTAACTCATATCAGCAATGGATTTAATGTGTACTGGAATTTAAGTATGTCTTCTAGACCCAAGATAGTGAGTGGGGTTTAAGGATAATAGGTACTTTATTTCTATGCTCGTGTTTGGTTGGTAGAAAGAAGAAATTATTCCCTGCTTACCAAATTATAGAAAAGCAGTGAAAAATAATGAACTAGGTTGTCTGCAAAATGTGAAGAGGAGGGTATGGAAAATTCTATAACCTTAAACACTCTTAGAGAAATTGGACAGGTGGGCGAAGATATGAAGGAATAATCAAGGTACCTCAAATCACAACTATACCTATGGGGAGAGCAAAAAATGATTTTAAAACCATAGCATTATAGGGGAATAAAGAATAAATACAGCAAGTTTAAGGAAGAATGTCCAACTTACTTCTCTTCTGCAAAAAAAACCTTTTCCCTCCCAGCTTAGCAAGTGATCTTACTTAGGTTTATCCCTTCAGGATGGCTTTTCACTATTAATTATTAGAGTTGATTTAGTACGTGAGGCCTTCTCACTGGATCTGATCCAATCAGGAAAAAAAATGAAAGATAACTGACTTCAGGCAGGCTTTGCATGCTTACTACGGTGAATTTTATATTCTGTTTCATTCTTAGAGTCTGAGCAAACAAGCTATATGTAAGCAGTTAACTACTATGACAAAAAGCCGTACTTGTTAAGTATATCAACTGTTTATAATTAAATGAATTAATAACAATTATTTGAAAATAATTGTAATGCTCTATAAGAAGAAAGGGTAAGCAGTTTGAATAAAAATGACTGAAATAAGTACTAAACTACAGCCAAAGTAAACATACTGGGTGGGCAAAAGTAGGCTTGTAGTTCATAATACAGTAATAACAGCTGTAAAACTACATTTGCCCCACCCTGTATTCTTGTCTTTGTTAATGTTCTAACATCCGTCTGCCACAGATGAAAGTAAAACTACCAAGACATGATCTCCTTGGGGAGGAGAAGTGGTTAATCTCAAAGGAGCAGGACCAAGAATCCCTTCCTCAACTGCTTTTATTAGGTTGTAATACACAGGAATGCAGGTAAAGCTCATCAATTAGTGTCAGGCGGCAAGGATCAAACAATAGATAATATTTCAAAGAAATCTGAGGGCTTAATTTGAGTCAGTGTCAAATAAGGGGGTTGCAAAAACATTGGGAGTATTGGGAGGCATACTCATCTACTCAAACCCTTATCATACAAATGAAAGCACTGTTAGCAAAGCAGGCTTCATAAGAGTTTGTGAATTCTTTCTTATGTCCGATCACCCTGGAACCCACTCTAGCTGGCAAAGGGCTGCACTGCTCTCCCTGTCATAGGTATATAGGCTTAAGTGAATTAGAGCCAGAAAGCACTTCTCCCAGATGAAAATGGGGACTCAAGTTATGTCAGAATAGCCGGGAAGCTAGGGTCCATCACCCCCTCTTTGCTGTGACCCCCCAAGTCCTTCCTTGAGGGCCTCCCAAGTGATTGTGTCTGGCTTAGGTTGCCCCACCTCTGAGGGGTCTTACCTGTCATTGACTAACCAACCAACCAAGCACTGGGGGCCAGAGATGGATGAAGCAGAAGTAGCACTCCTGCCAGGAGGATAAGCTTTGTCTCCTTAGTGGCTCACAGTCTGAAGGTCGCTCACTCAGCCTTGGCCATGGGGGGTCACAGCTCCTGAAAACATCCAGGGTGGTTCCCAACACTGCTGTCTACCTGAGGAGGTATATTAGGTTATTTACTGGCAATGAGCAGTCAGTTCTGTAGTCCATCCATTGTTTTCTCAATGAATTCTGCAAGCTGTCAAGAGGAAAATCTTGAAAATGACAAAGTGAGCTTCTTTGGCAGGGCCCTAAAAAATGAACTGGAGTAGGAACTTGAGGAGCAAAGGAGCTGTGTAGACAAGTTAACTATGGTAGTATTAGAAATCTGTGACTTCATCACTTCCCTATTTTCCCTTTGAGTTCTATAGCTTTATTTTTTAACATTATAAAAATGCACTTAAGTCAGTAAATACAAATAAAAAGTGTAAAGAAAATTATCATCCATGATTTCTCTACCTGGTATGGCTCCCTCATACTGAAGAGGACCAAGAATCAATGAGTTAGGGCTTTGAAATAAGAGACGTGTACCCCTGGGGTTTGCCATAGTGGCGACAGAAATAATCAGCATGAGAAAACATGGAGAGGGAAATGAGTGAGCAAAACTGCTGTGGCCACCTGTTCAGACATTTCTTTATACCTGGACACTTGGCTTCAGAAGCTTTTATCTTCTCAAACTTTTAAGAATTCATTATTTTATGGTTATCATTCCTTTACGTTCTATCTAAATCTCAAAACTAGTATTCCAGGTGCCAGAGTTGAAAGCAAGACCCTGTGGTATACATTGTCCCCAAAAGGATACAACAAAATAGACTTTGTCTCTCTGTTAACCTAACAGAGGAGTAATTGAAGATTAAAATACACTGAGCATGATTAGCTTGCTTTAAGGGTAGACTAGGAAAAGCTATCTGAGGGAGCTTGTGATGAGTAGGAATGTAGACAACATCTCTGCACATTCAACATATGGAAATTTCAGGACAGAGGGAAAGGAGAGGAGCAGAGAAGATGGAAGGAAATAAGAGCTGATCTGTGCTCAAGCCAAGAAGCCACCAGATTAAGACTTGAGAAAATGACTGGCTGGAAAAATCTCTACCCATCCAAGCTAAGCTTGATTTGGGGGCTACAAGCCAAAATAAATTAACATCAGACATACTTTCTCTGCAGTGTTCACTTACTACATACCTACTATCTACTACCTGGTAGTTGAACTAGATGGAATTTCTGCCCTGAAGGTATACACGTCTAGAGAAGGGGCAAGATGAGTAGCCTGATGACTACAGAGGTAAGTACTATGGCAGAGTAAGCACATGGAGCTTTGAGAGTACAGAGCAAGAGCAGATCGGCACACATCTGCTGTGAGGTCTTTAAGCCTTTCACGGTTACTGCCTAGCATTCCTGCAGAAGGTCTGGGGAGGAAAGATTGTCTAGTTTGTGATTTCAAGGACAAATATCTATACTGCCTCTACCTCTACCCACAAAGCCTAATGACCTTTCATTTCTGTTCAAAAGCTATAAACCCTAAAATTACAAAAGAATTTTCAAACACCATCAAATTTAGAAAGAAATTTGTTGTAGCTAAAGTAATTCACAAGAATTAATCTCAAATACTTTCTATTTTTAATAAGAGGGAAGGGACTTGAGAGGAAAGCAAAGGGGTCATTGGGATGGGTCCTCGTTAAGTATTTAGTGAGTCCTGGCCAGTGTGGGTCAGTGTGTGGGGACATCCTCCCACACACAGGAGGGCTGGGGGTTCATTCTAGTCAGGGCATGTGCCTGGGTTGCAGGCTCAGTCCTGGGTTGGGCTATGTGGGAGGCGGCTGGTTGATCACATTTTCTCTCTTGTGCACTTGAGCTCGCTCTCTCTCTCTCTCTCTCATAAACAAACATTAAAAAAAAAAAATTTAAAGCCCTGGATGGTGTGGCTCAGTGGATTTAGTGCCAGCCTGCAAACCAAAAGATGCCTGACTCAGTTCCCAGTCAGGGCACATGCCTGGGCTGCGGGCCACTTTCCAGTAGGGGGCGTGAGAGAATCTAATGTTTCTCTCCCTCTCTTTCTCCCCAGAAATAAATAAATAAATTCTATTTAAATTTTTTAGAAATACTTGGAGAATATGTTGACTGGACTTGGTGAAGGGACAGGACTGGATTTCCAACTCTTTTTTTAAAAGATTCTATTTATCTTTGGAGGGGAAGGGAAGGAGAGAGAGGGAAATATCTATGTATGGTTGCCTTTCGTGCGTCCCCTGCTGGGAACTGGCCTGCAACCCAGGCATGTTCCCTGACGGGGAATTGAACCTTGATCCTTTCTTTGGTTTGCAGGCTCGTGCTCAATCCACTGAGCTAGGGCCAACTCTTTTTTTTTTTTTTTAACAATTTTTTTATTGTTCAAGTACAGTTTTCTGCCTTTTCCCCCCACCCCTCCCCACCACCCCAGTTCTTCCCAGCTCCCTCCCCTGTTTCCACCCCTCCTTATTATTGTCCACGTGTCCTTTACACTTGTCCCTATAAACCCTTCACCCTTTTCCCCCATTATCCCCTCCCCTCTCCCCTCTGGTCCCTGTCAGCCTGTTCTCAATTTCAATGTCTTTGGCTATACTTTTCTTGTTTGTTCTTTTTGTTAATTAGCTTCCTGTTAATGGTAAGACTATATGGTATTTGTCTTTCACCACCTGGCTTATTTCACTCAGGATAATGCTCTCCAGTTCCATCCATGCTGTTGTAAAAAAGTAGGAGATACTTCTTTCTTTCTGCTTCATAGTATTCCATTGTGTAAATGTACCATAGTTTTTGGATCCATTTATTTAGTGATGGGCACTTAGGTTGCCTCCAGCATTTGGCTATTGTAAATTGTGCTGCTATGAACATTGGGATACATAGATTCTTTTGGATTGGTCTTTCAGGGTTCTTAGGATATAATCCTAGCAGTGGAATTGCCAGGTCAAAAAGCAGTTCCATTTTTAGTTTTCTGAGAAAATTCTATACTGTTTTCCATAGTGGTTGCACCAGTCTACAATCCCACCCTTTTCTGTGCACTATGGTTCTCTTTTCTCTACAGCCTTCCCAGCACTTGTTTGTCAATTTGTTTATGATAGTCATTCTCAATGGTGTGAAGTGGTATCTTATTGTGTGGTTTTAATTTGCATCTCTCTGATGGCTAGTGATACTGAGCATCTTTTCATATGTCTCTGGATCCTCTGTATGTCCTCCTTGGGGAAGTGTCTGCTCAAGTCCTTTGCCTATTTTTTAATTGGTTTGCTTGTCTTCTTAGAGTGGAGTCATGTGAGTTCTTTATATATTTTGGAGATAAACCCCTTGTCTGATGTATCATTGGC